CTAACAGAGACACAACCGCATGCTGTTTGCACCGACAGTTTTACAGTTTTAGAGCAGGGGTGGGGGAGAGAGACAGACACATCTCAGCTGCACGCTGTCTGTACTGACAGTTTTTTTGGGGGGGGGGATGGGAGACAGCCACACATCTGAGCCGTGCACTGTTTGTACCTATAGTTTTCGAGTGGGGGTGGTGTCAGCGTGAGGGTTCAGCATGAGGGAAGAGGTTGCCTTTAGCTTTTTAGCTAGCGCGGCTGCATTACGAGCTGCTATAGCGTTACGTCAGTGCCGGGGGGGGGGGGGGGGGGGGGGGGGGGGGGGGGGGTTAGATAGGGCGGGGCATCTCACTTTTATAATGGTAGGGGAAACACTGCATATCCTCACTGCAGACTCATGTTCATGCTGCTGTTTAATACACCGTATTATTTCAAGTGATTAGTGTTTAGTGTATATCTTAGATCTTTTAGCGTATTGTTTAACATTTGTTTAGTGTATTTCTTAGATTCTTATATATGGTTTCTTTTTATACTTATATTTTGGTAACACTTTATGACAATGTCATGTCAGTCTTATGAACACCCCTTCAAATAAAGTGTTACCTATATTTTTGCTATTTTTGGGTGTAACGGGGCCTTGAGTACACAATTTCGTTCCACCTCATGTACCACATGTGATGAGAATGACAATAAAGAACATTGAACTTGATTTACACAGGTTAGTCTCACTTGTTTTTCAAGTTATCCAACTCACAAGACGAACAGACGGAGAGTATTTCCGATTCCCCTCTTCACTCGACGACAGGAGACAAAAAGCTTCCTGGAGTCTGACAAATCAAAACATTAAAAGTGCTTCTTGAAATCACTGATTTCACATTTTTATTTTAAAGTAGAAAGTGACAGAGCCTGGGCGCTCAAACTTGTCTGCAGTCCAAACATGATACTCACTGAAAATCTTTGATACATTATGTAATAAAATATCTAACAAAGCTGTCATAAATTACTGAACAGCTCTAAGAAATGCAGTTTTTCTAGTGAAACTGCAACAAATGTTTGTTTTCTTCCACAAGATTTTTAAGTTTTAAAAAAGGGAAAACTTGCTTCATCCCATCTTTTTAAAAACATTTTTCTAGGATCGTGTTGAAAAAACAAATCTTTAAATAAAAATAACTTTTGTTTCAAGATTTTCCATGATGTCTTTGATAAGTTTTTTATTTTGACTGACTCTAGGCAAACGATATTCAAATCGTGCTGTTATGTTAGATTTACATTTGACCCAACTTTTTTGAGACTAAAAGTGTTTCATTGGTAAAACTTGAAAGCAACATGAAATTTAGGGTTGAGTGTTTGTTGCTGTACTCAGTCAGCTCTAACATGTTTTTAGATGAGTGACATTTAAACATTTGGATATACTGTGTAAGAAAAAGCTGCCTGATCTTACCTCAGCAAAATATGAAACAAGATCTTATTTTAAACCCGATAAGCCAATCCTCAGTTTGGGTGACTGCTTTCTTACACACACACTGGACAGGATCCCTGCAAACACACACAAGACAAAACAGACAACACACAGACAATCATAATGGTAAAAAAAAAGTTTAATAAGAGCTGGACATTAATTGTTGCTTGGGCCAACTAAACATTAGGTTTGGAAAATTACAAAATGTGTGGTGTGGAATTGGACAGGTAAATAAAAACAAATGTGATGTGTATTTGTTTATGTTGTCAGTTGTCTAACAGATTGTTTGACATGTACTTTTGACAATACCACACACAGTGTCAAATGAAGGAATTCCTATATAGGTTTATTTTACAAGTAGATATAAATAGGTTAGTCCATGTTCCTGAAAACAGGTCTGTAAAATAAAACTGAATGACTAACTAGACAATACAAAACAGTACAATAAATACAAGAAAACAAAAAAGTGCACCAGATTTAGTTGGAAAAGGTGTTTGTGTATTTGCTACAATCAGCAGAACGACACGTCATTTAGAGGATTTTTCAAATAAGCAGATTTGTCATTTCTGTAAACTGAAAACTTTGTTTTTTATTTTGAGGGTTACCGGTATCAGCTAAAAGGCTAATAATAAGTTTATAATATTGTAACTTCTTTATTGTAAAGTTTTAAAAAAAAACTTAACCTCCAGCGTGATAAGTGAACCTGTTTAGCATTAAAATTTAAGTGTTATTACAACTTTAGGATTGTACAACAAAACCAAAGAGACTAATTGAATGAGTCAAATTAAGGGGCATAACTGTGAACTTGAATATCATTTCTTGTTTCTGGATAGAAATAATCTAATAACCAAGTTTTATAATGTATAAATTAAAAAACTAGGTGAAGTACAACTTTTATAGACTAGCTAAAGACCTACTTTATGTAATACGCTAGATAAAACGTAATTTTGCTCACTAGTCTGATGAGTTTGACAAATCACAACATATCTTTTTTGTTTCATAAAATGACAAAAACAAGAAGAACCTTCTGTGAAGGTTTCTCGTGCGACAAAGTTTTCTTAAACCAAGGTTTTACATTTCAAATACTCCAGTGCACAGTTAAAATGAAGCTTTTCTGTCAACTATTCGGTCTCTCCTGAAACTACAGTGCACTAGATAACCACACAACCTGAGGCTTCACCGAGAGTATTACTGAACACCTAACATTAGCCCCATTAAGGCCTAAACTGTTATTTGTGTTTGCTGTGTCAAAGGCCACAAGTCAATAAAAAAATCTCTTCCCAAAAACGTTCATTTTATCAAAGCAGTCCTTTGAAACAGAAAACTTTAGACAACTGCGCTATTAGCTATCGTTGAATCTTACAACTTCAACCTCTTAAGTATTTATTTAGCCTGGATTATCATTTTAATGATCAAAAATACATGGTGGTCAAGTTTAATTAAACGTTTACTATTTAAAAATACATATGCATTTGGTCTATGAGGAGATGACAGATGAGTCATAAAACAAGCTCCACTCAGTGAGCTCTGACTGCTTCGTTTACTACACAACACTGGAGGCTAACTGTTAGCTTGTTAGCATGAGGGAGGAAGCTGCTTGAAGCCTGACAGACCAGCAGAAGTAAGTCATTTACGGCCGCTGCGGAACAACAACAATTTCACTCTTACCGTGGCTCTGAATGCTGTAGCTCTAACTGTGACACCAGGCTGATATATAACAATACGATAGACAAGGTAAGTGAGACACAGGGCGGTTACTGAGAAACAAATGCCGGATTCAGTCTGTAAGGAGGTCTTCACCTGGCGCTTCCATGTCTGTTTACCAGACTGCATTCTGGGACGGAGACGTCACTGCGTAAAGACGTAAAAGACGTAAAGACGTAAAAGACGTAAAGACGCACGCAGAGTACGTACAACTTCAAAAGAATTTGTTGTTCACGGTGGAAAACAAAGAGAACAATCTTTCTGGGCAAAGCATATTATTCAGAAGAAAATGTGTATTCAAGTACTGTGCTCATATACCCAAGATAAACCAGTTATCGATTTTAAATATAATATATTCAAAACATTTTTTTTTTATTAGGGAATAAGTTAGTGAGATATTTTAAACATATTTTTGATTAATGTCACATTCCTAACAGAATATAGACTTCCTATGTATATTTTAATTGAAGTTAAAACAAACACAATTTTTGACTTAAATAAAAAAAATGAGGCACAATAATTATGTAAATATCAAAACACAAAAGAACAAGCATCAACATCGCTTATAACGGAACCAACTTGTAGTTTCTGTCCATAAGGTTGACACATTGTCCAGTTTAAAGACTGGGCTTAAAACTTACCTTTTAGATAAATCCTATAGTTATGGTTGGCTTGTTATGCTGCCATAGACTATTGGAGGGCAAATTGACCTCATTTCCTTAAATCATATGTGTCAAGCTCAAGGCCCGAGGGTCAAATGTGGCCCTCGTTGACATCTTATCTCAGAGTCAGAGTCAGAGTTTCTTTATTGTCATTCGCACCTCATGTGGTACATGTGGTGGAGCGAAATTATGTACACAGGGTCCCAGTTACATCCAACAATAAAATGTATAAGAAAAACAGTAATAACATCTAAGATATGAACTAAGAAAAACATCAACTAAATATACACTAAGCACTCATAACATAAAAACATTGAACATCAGCACAAACATGAACATGAGTCTGTGTGAGCAGATGAGCACGCATGAACACATCAACATTGAAACAGATCAGCAGCAACATGATATGATTTTCACAGTGATTATTCTAGTTAGAGATTCATGAGTCTAGCAGCCTCAGGGTAGAAGCTGTTCCTCAGTCTAGTGGTTCTACACTTAATGCTCCTCAACCTCCTTCCTGAGGGGAGTGGGGCAAAAAGTGTGTGTGCTGGGTGAGTGGGGTCCTTCATGATGCAGGTGGCTCTCTTCCTGCATCTGGAGGTGTAGATGTCTGTGATGGTGGGGAGACTGATTCCAACAGATTTCTGTGCAGCCTTCACCACTCTCTGCAAAGCTTTTCTTTCTGCAGCTGTGCAGCCTCCATGCCACACATTGATGCTCGAGCACAGGATGCTCTCCACTGCACACCTGTAGAAGGAGGTGAGGACTGAGCTTCCCAGACCAGCTCGCCTCAGCCGCCTGAGGAAATAGAGTCTCTGATGAGCTTTCTTGATCAGGCTGGTGGTGTTGTTGCTCCAGCTGAGGTTGTCATTCATGTGTACACCCAAGTACTTGAAGCTGGAGACCACTTCCACTGCAGATCCTCTTATGTTCAGGGTGGTGTAGGTGTTTTTGTTCCTTCTGAAGTCCACAATCATCTCCTTTGTCTTCTTCACATTGATGTGAAGGTTATCTGGCCCCTAAGATGTTATTTTAAATGTAAAATACTTTTATCACTTTAATTTTTTTAGTAATCTTTGATTATGATGTCAATATTGCAACAGAGAATGTCAAATGAGACCAATCAAGCTCATATTGAGGAATATGTAACCAAGAAACAATGTTGGGTATCTAATTTCTAACACTTCTTATCTAACACTTCTTAATAATATTTTAGATATCCTGTGTATAAAAGCCCATCTAGGGACAAGTGCTGCAAATTAGCTCATGCTATAAGCACCATGATACAGGCAAGGGACTGCTGCTTTATTCACTTGGTCTGTGTTATTGTTTGTCAGTCCCTATCAAATAAACTTTATAAATAAATAAACTTGAGTTAATATAGATTCTGAAACCAGATCTTAGTTAGATTTTTTTTTTTATTTGGCCCCTTTGAATCATTACAACTGAATAGTTTTTATTTGATACTATTTCTATCTTAACATGTGATTCTCGACCTGCCATTGTGTATCTGTTCCTCCTTCCTGTTCCTCTCAAACCCAGCCGGTCGAAGTAGATGGCCCCATCGTCCTGAGTCTGGTTCTGATAAAGGTTTTTTTTCCTCATGGGAGTTTTTCCTTTCCACTGTCGCCTTCATGCTTGGTCATGATAAGAGTCTGTGATGACGTTAGACTCAAAGCAGTCTTGTCCTCAGATAAATAATGTTATTAACTTACTTTTTATGTATATAAATGCTTCTGTGCAGTGCCCTGAGATAACTTCTGTTGTGACTTGACACTATATAAATAAACTGAAATGAATTGAACATTCTTGTATCAACATACAACAGACCTAAAACATTTTTTGAATTCTCTTAAAGCATCACTATGTCAAGATATACTCTACAGCCAAATATTTCTTCACTGGAATTAAATAATATCTTAATAATGTATCAAACATATTGTAGAATAAAAACTTTTTCCCCCTTCTTTCGGCTGTTATATATGGGCAGCTGTGGTTGAGAGTCTAGAGCAGTCGTCCTCCAATGCAAGAGTTGGGGGTTTGATTCCACAAGCAGTCACATGCTGAAGTGTCCCTGGGCAAGACACTGAACCCCTCATTGTCTCCAATGTGTGTCCCATCGGTGTATAAAGCCCTGATTATTCTTTGTACATCTAGTAGAGTGCTGTATGAATGGGTAAATGAAGGCACAGATTGTTGTGTAAAGCGCTTTGAGTATCTGGATATGATAGAAAGAGCTATACAAGTGCAGTCCATTTGTTACCTTTGTAGGGGTCACCATAGAGAATTAACTCACACAAAGACTTTGAAATTGTTTATAATGCTGGATGCCCTTCCTGGTGCAACCACAGACCACTGAGCTAACACTTCTCTCTGTGTCGAGCAAAGAGCAGCCATCTAGGGTGCCCGGAGGATCAGATGGGGGGGTTGGGGTCTTGCTCAAGGGCCCAGAGTGGTGCAAATGAGGGTGGAGACAGGTTTGGGTGTCTCACCCTTTCCACCCACATTTTGATGTTGTCGTCCAGGGAGTCAAACCGGCAGCCTTCTGGTCACAGGACCTCTGCGTCAACACTGCCATATTGTGGAATAAAACCATCCATCCATCCATTATCTTTTACCCGCTTATTCCATTTTGGGTCACGGGGGTCGCTGGTGCCCATGTCCAGCAATCACTGTGCGAGGGGCGGGGTACACCCTGGACGGGTCGCAAGTCCATCACAGGGACACATAGAGACAAACGAGACAAACAACCATTCACTCTCTCACTCACACCTAGGGACAATTTAGAGTTACCAATCAGCCTAACATGCATGTTTTTGGTCTGTGGGAGGAAACCGGAGTGCCCGGAGAAAACCCACGCATGCACGGACAGAACATGCAAACTCCACCCAGAAGGTCCCTGGACCGAGGTTAGAACCAAGGACCTGCTCGCTGAGAGGCAGCAGCTCTACCAGTTGCGCCACCGTGCTGCCCTGTGGAATAAAACATATTACCAAAACAAATTCTTACATATGAAAGAAAGAAAGAAAGAAAGAAAGAAAGAAAGAAAGAAAGAAAGAA